CAACCCCTGGACGTTAAGGGCAAAGTGAAGGAAGAAGGAAAACATGACTATGATTTTGATCCTGGTAACTAAAGAAAATAGTTCTCTCATTTACCAGAATAGGGAAGTTGGAAAGGGGAATTTATTTGAGGGAGACATAAAGAGAATTAGAGACTGTGATAAGGTCATAACTTCTAAGTAGAAATGTTCTAAGAAATGGGATATAGGACCGCTCTGAAATATCTCTGTGGTTTCTTAAGGGACAAGGCTTTTCTTCTGGTCCCAAAACATGTGTTCTGGCACAAGAGAAGCACTTTAGGACCTAAGCTCTTTTTGTGAGCTGCTGCCTAAATTGTGAGTCCTAGAAAAGACTTTTACTGATGGGTGACAGAGGACAGAGAGGTATAAACTGCATCATGCTTGTGTGTCCCCTCTCTGATCAGAGGCATAGTTGAAAGACAGAGAAAAAAATTCCAAATCCTTGCTTTTACTGCTGTAAATCACCACTTAGCTGAAACACAGGTTTCGGATTACTGCACTAGGCCTCAGCACACAGACTTTAGTGGATGCTTGTTAAATAGTCTACAGGATGCTTGAAATGTGCAGGGAAGTATTCTTTTAGTATTCAGATGTTGGGAGTCTGTGTACATGTGTTTGAGGCGTACAACATAGCACTTTGTAAATGACCTCCATAGGCTCCACAAGATAAGAATGCAATCACCACCTGACCAAAGAATGCCCACTATACGTAAGGATATTTGGGTCATTTTTTTAGAACAAAGTAAAATGTATATTTACAAACCATAAAACAATTTTATTCTTTTTCCTTTCAGCCATTCAAAGCTGTATTGTGGGGCTGGCTCTTTCCCACCCCCTGAACTATCTGTGACTCTTCGGGTCTCTGTTATTTGGCGGGTGTTTAAAATGACTCTTTTCCCTTCTGGCTATTTTCGTGAGCTCTTCTGAGTTTCCTTAGCACTAGAGAAATCTCATTTCTGTCTCCCAGTGTCTCCAGCTGGTCCCCTGGCATTTCTCATCTGTCCCTGGTTATCTAGCAAGTCACCCCGAGACTCTTAGGTGAGGCTTCCTTGACCCTCCATCAGCCTTGTTGGGAGGAACCCAGAGAAAACCCCAGACAGCTCTTGTATGGAATCCCCATCTGGGCCTCTGTCTGTCAGCCATGCAGTTACTTCCAAGAGCAGTGCTCTCCTCTGTCAGCCAGTCACCTGTTCTTGTGAGATCTCAGGCGTGACTACAGTCCACCATGTCCGCATGGTTCCAGGAGATACATATGAAACTGTCTGTGTAGCTTCCCTGAAGCCTTTCTCACTTGACTTGAGGTAACAAGGGTATGCCTCTCAACCTCCTTCTCACAAGAAAGAATCACAAGTACTCTGACATCTCTCTCTAAAGGGAATCCTCCTGGAAACTCCATCTTCTCTCTTATGCTTTCAAGCTTCCTTATAAGCTGGAATCAGGTGGTTAGCTCTGAGTAGCAAAGCTAATTCAGCACAAGTCCAGCAGAAGTGGGTTAGCACCTCACAAGTGAGGTGGGAGTACACTTGACACCTCTAGTTTAAGCCTCAGCTAAAACCCAAACAGGAAGAGCCCTATTTAACATCCTGTTACCATTGAGATGTACATATGTATTAAACACTTATCAAAATCATAAAAGTAGTATTTGATTGTAAGACAAATCTGGGTCAATGAGGCTCAGAGAAAGCTAATAAGGAAAACTATGATCAGTAGGATGACAAAGCTCAAGTGCATGGGACATATAAAATTCACCGAACTCCACCTGTGGTGGTGTTTCCGTAACAACTATACTTTCAAACCCATAGTTGCACTTCAAAGAGGAAAATAAACCATTCTCTCCATCTATGAGGCATAATTACAAGAGAAAGAAATGAGTTATATGATTGCATTGCAGAATATTTGCATGAGTGCTTTTGTAAAAAAAAAAAAAACTAGAGAAATAATGAGGGATGTTTAGTTCAATAAATGTGAAGTATGTTCCACAAAATTATTCAGATATTGAAATAGAAGACTACAAATTTCTCCTTCAGCTTTTCTGTGGCTTTCTTTATGTGCAAAAGGACCCACACGATGTAAAAGGCCTGACATTTTAAAAACCTCATTTCAACCTTGACATATCACCTCACGGTGACTCATTTGCTCTTTGGAATGTTTTTAAGCTTCACAACAGTGGCATATGCACAGAACAAATCATTCTTGGAAAGCTGCATTGTTGCGGGTTGAAACGTGACTCTTCAAAACATATGGTGGAGTCCTACCCCCTAGCATCTGTGAATGTGACCCTATTTGGAAAAAAGGTCTTTACAAATGTAATTAAGTTACGATGTGGTCCTATTTGAATAAGGTAGGTCCTAATCCAATCTGAGGGAAGTCTTTACAAGAAGAGGAAAATGCCCTGTGAAGGCAGAGCCACACGGGGAGCCACACAGGGAGAATGCCCCATGATGACAGAGGCAGAGATGGAAATGCTGCAGCTACAAGCCAAGGAGCGAGCACCAAGGATGGCCAGCCATCTCCAGGAGCTAGCAAGGGGCAAGGAAGGATTTTATCCCGAGAGGAAGGATGGCCCTGCTGACATCTTGATTTCAGATTTCTGGCCTCTGGAGCTGTGAGAGAATAAATTTCTGTTGTTTCAAGGCATCCAGCTAGTGGTACTTTGTTAGAGCAGCCCTAGCAAATATACAGAAATTAAAATTTCAGCTGTGAACTCAGAAACCGGAAGATAGTTTTCTTCTGAGATTCGGACCTCCACTAAGCAGTTGCCTGATGGAGAAAGTTGCTTGGATTGATGGTCTTTTTCTGGATGAGTGGCATTTCCAGTTTGGGTGCTGATGTATAGACTACTGCTGGAAACAGTTGTTGCCATGATCAAGTTGGTCTTGTCTTTTCTGACTGGAGTATTGATCTAAATAGATCGCAAGCCCCATCGCTCTTTAGCGGTCCTAAAGGGAAACAATCTCATTTCTTGGGATGATGACTGCGCCTTGTAAAATTATTGGTGGGGAGGTGTATTTCAAAATATTTGCTTTTTCTTAGTGTAGGAAAAATTTCTTTGGTTTAGGCAAATTCTGATGCAACATAAAAGTAATTTGGTTAAAATTTCATTCATTTTCATGGTTTGGCAATACACTCACAGCAATCACGTTTACCCAAAAGGTGTGTCAACTCAGTGATAACCAGGAAATCTGGGTATTAGTCTTACTACAAAAATGCATGAATTAAATAATAACTGTTCACATTAAAACATCTGTAATCATATTTTACACTGTGCTCTTAAAAAGGAGTCATTTATTTGTGCTTGTTTCACAAAATTAAAAATCAAGGAGCCTCTCTTTATGAGATGATGGAAATATTCTAAAATCAGATTGTGGTTGTGGTCTCACAACTCTGTAAGTTTATAAAAATCACTGAACTGTACACTTAAAATAAGGGAATTTTATGGTGTGCAAACTATGTGTCAACAAAGCTGCTTAAAAAACAAAGATTCTACTCTCCTAGTAGGAAATATCAGTTCTGTAGAAATCCTTGTAGTCAGGGTTTAGTACATGACAGTTGATGATGGTGTTTACATCACTGTCTAACAGTACAAGCAAAACAAAGATGCTTTGCACATGTTGTGATTTTGTCTTACCCAGGGATGAACATGGATAAACCAGGACTCTGTTGGATGAAAGGAATTCTGGAGACAATGGACCTCCAGAGGGTCAATAACTATTTTTCCTGCAGTAGCTCTAGAGACTGGGATTAATCTTTGGAAGACCTTTCAAGGCATTATCTTTGCAAGAATTTGCACTGCTCCTAACTATACTCCCATCCCATACATACACACTGATCACTTGAGAAAGAGTTTAATCAAGCAAATGATACAATCTATTGAAGCTGGTAAAGACATGTTTAGATCTACAAAGGGTTCAAATCTATGACTCTGACCACAAACCAGTTGGTCTGTTCCATGACAGGTCCATTCATCAATGTTGATAAACTAAGTAAATGGATAGGGGAGAAGGAGGAAGTGAGGAAGACATTTTTTCACCAGTTAAAAGACATCCCGTATATTCAGGCTGGAGGTCTCCTGCCTTCTTTGAAGAAATTGGGCTGATCAAGAAACTGCAAAATTTTACAAATGCCTTCTCAGAAACATTGACACTGCTCTGGACATGCTTTTACTCAGTGATTTTTCTATTAAAAACAGTGCTCAAGCCGCTCAAATTTCAGGAAATCTGAGTGTATTGGATACTCTTGCTTCTCCAGGCCCATCCCATATGCATCTCCATTCTGCTCTGAGTGTTAGAAGACCAACTTTTATAGGTTGCATCAATTTACATCCCTCTCCTCTGGCTCTAGTTGGCCTTAGCCATTGGAAGGCCCTCAAGGGAGATTAGAAAGTACAGGGGAGAGAAGTTGGAGATTTTATTCAATGTCAGACCATGAGCTGTCAGCAGCTTGGTTCCTCAACAGGACAATCCTCCTATGGTATAGCTCTCCATCAGCTATATCTCCCTCTCTTTCTAGGACCCAGTAACTGCTTCCTAGCCTTGCCCTTTGAGTCTTAGGAAGGATGATATGGGTGCTCTCCCACACCTTTTTACCCACCCATAACACTGACCTCACTCTTTTAAGTAGACCCTTGATGACATTATCTTCATTTACCCTTTTTGAGTGTGCTTTCCTTTCCTGATACACCAAGGACACTCTTTTTATAGCAAGTTTCTGTTTGCCAAATTTCTCCTTGGGCTGGTCATTGGTGTTTTTTGAGCCTTTGAATACCTGGGACTCATTCCAGTGTCAAATTGTTAAAGATAACATTTTCAAGATGGTAAATTGACTTTATATGTTTCTGTTTAGGAGACCACAAAATATTCACCCCAAAATGATTATATACAACTAAGCTTACAGCTCGTGGATATAGCACAGTCACTGTTCACATCTTGCAAGTAATGAAAAAAATGCTAATCCAAAAATTATCTTTCAGGGGCACCTGGCTGGCTCAGTTGGTGGAACATGTGACTCTTGATCTCAAGGCTGTAAGTTCAAGCCCCACATTGGGTATAAAGATTACTTAAAAATGAAATCTTTAAAAAAATTATCTTCCAGAGTTCAAAGACAAGCTTAAGGGATATTTTTCGGGACAGAAAAAAATATCTGCAGTTTGGGAAATTCCTCTGTATATATCCACTGATTTTAATGATCCACCAGTTGGGAGGCCAATGCACTACACCTCCCTGGTGCATTGCAAGGCAGCACAAAGCAAAGCACTAAAGACAACCTCTGATCCAAATTTATTAGGAGGAAAGTATTGTCTGAAAAAGTAGAAGTGTTTTTGCTCTATAAGCTAGTAGTACCCAAGAGTTGCTGTCTAGGGATCCTGCTTTATTTTAAAAGAAGAAGGGATTTGTAGTTCCCATATCAAAGGTCAAACTGAGTTGAGCTGGGTGGCCTTTGTTTGTGTGGCAATTTCAGTGTTTGCACACTTCTCAAGTGCTTCTTCAAAAGGGTCTTCCCCCAGTGCTGAAGAGGCACTATTCATTTGCTTAACAAGCTGCTCTCCTTCCCCCCTCTTCTCCCTCTCCTCAAAAGATAACATGAAGATAAACTGCATCTTAGGCCAAATATGAATAATCACAAATTTTATATTACAGGAGATTGAAAAATACACTTTGCTGTCTTTGCCTTTTTTATTTTTTGCATATTTTCAAATCCTTCTCAGAGAAACTGTCTTAGCACAAAATGATTTATCTTATGGCAAAGTTTTAGTGACTATGTAAAGCCTATAGATTATTCGAACACAATTTTTCAATAATGTTACACAGGAAAAGGGTAAAGCAGTTTCATAAAGCTTTCAAACATATAATAAGGAGCTTTTGATTGACGTATTAATAATTGAACTTATTATGACTTATCCTTCTTAAGATATAAGTTCTGATATTTTATCCTTTTTTCACTTTTAAAGTTGGTACTTTTGAGGAAATTAATGAGTTGACAGATTATTTTTGGAAGATTGACTTCTGAAAAGCAGAATATTTTAGAGTTAAAAAGTTAACCATTTTTCAGAACAGTATAAATATTTTTATGTGCTCATTGTTTAGTCATGTTTGTGGCCAAAATTTCTTTTCACTGTAGAATAGACAATGGTGCAGGTTATTAGTTAAGCTACTAGATATGATCATTCATAAGATAAACTGGCATGTCAGTATTTCTAACTAAGGTAATTAGTCAGGAATTTCTGCTTTCCCTTGATTTATGTTTCTGAGTGTGCTGGCAAATGTTTTATACATTTTAATATGTACAGTAATTAAACAAATGCATCTAGCTATAAGTAATTTTATGCGGAATATAAATAATGCTATACATAAAAATCTAAAACCTAAATGTTGTATGTGATTTTACTTTACATTAAGGTATCACTAACTAATGTGTGCTTGTTTTGCATTTAGAGTAAAAATGCTTCCCAAACCTCTTTCCCCCAAAAGATAATCCAAAACAGAATCTACACATGGATTTGAGCATTAAGATGACCAAATTCCTCTTATTGAAATAAATAATCCATCGTCTGAGCTGTTCAGTTGTATGCTGGTGCTTAGAAAGGAACTGCATGGTACTTTGAGAAAGTACAGCATGAGACTGTCTATGATTGTCTATGATTAAGGAAACAAAATTAGAGGCCACATGTTTAATTTAGTTAGTGCCCATAGACAAATTTATATTATGGGAGCATTTTTTTCTTTTCTAGACATTATTCTTAGTAAACTGGAGCAGTGTTAGGATTTGGGGATTGATTTTTACAAAATCAGAGAGAACTAAATAATTTTGCAAAAGACAGCCCTGGAAGCAATTCTCTGGTACATGAATGTATGGTTTATGAGTCCATGGCACTGAAGCACTTGCAAGATCAAGCCAAGAGACTCCACTTCATGACACTCAGGTCAGAGTTAGGGCCCATGAAGAGGAGCAAAATCCTGTTGCCAAAATGAGCTGATGGATGAAGCGAGGCTTTTAGCAAGAAATACATTCGTACGTCACAATGCAGTACATGCTAATACACACACACTCACATTTATATACAATTGAAACTAAATTCCACAAAACAATATTTATTGGAATTATAGCCCAAACACTATTTTACTATTTTATTCATCCTATTTCTTTTTGTATGTCAACCATGACCCAGTAGGTTATTCCATGTCTATTAAAGAGTACCACCAAGCATTTTGGAAAACAGCGTCAATTAAAGTGTGTTATAAAGAATGACATAAACAATGAGCACCTGTTACACTCTGATTTCCAAGTAGAGGTGGCCAAGAGAACATGAACTTCCTTTGATCAAGTGTGTTCTACAAATTCTTTCACTTTTAGTTTCACGAAGACATTGTGTTGAGAAATACAAGGTGGTACTCAGGAACTTTGAACTTCAAAGTCAATGAGGCAAGTAAATGGAAACCTTTGAAACATAAATTGAGTCATATAATCTTATTAAATTTAATTAGAGATATTAGATAGTGATTGGTATTTATTTGGTTCATGCCTGTTTGAAATTATAAATTCAGTCTATGTTCCTCAGATTAAAAACTGGGATAATCTGTTACTTCTAATTACCTAGAGAAGCAGTGGCAAAGAGTTAAGAAGAAGAGCCTAGCCTCATTTTGCTCTCTGTTGGTCTTGGAAGGGGTGCTGAGTCCTGTTCTAACCTAAGAATCTGGTAGGAAAAGCTTCTTTCCTATCATATACAAGGGAAAGTCTAGCATTATACAATACAATTAGACAGGTACTGGAATGGTCTGTGGGCTTCTGCCTGAACTTCTGCCAATAAAAAAATCTATTCACTTGGATTAAGTCACAACTCTTAGGAAAAAAATCATACTTTTAGGTGAAGTAATGGCCTATAAGCTTCTAAAAAATTGACTGAGTTCATCAGAATTCTTTGAAAGTGCCAAATAGTTAAAAATAAATGCAACAGGACTCAGGACTTAGAAGTCAAAAAAGCTGAGAGCACGAAGAACCAGAACAGAGCACACACTCAGCTGGCGTCCCAAGGGTCCTGGTGAATGAGAGGGCACCAGGAAAGCAGAACAGCATGTGAAAGGGAGTGGGAGGACACCAAAGATGGCTTTAACACCTGTACTATAAGGACTATAATGCCACCCAAGTGAGTCTTAACAAGAGAGAGGCTTTAAAAATGACTCTTATTTCTTCCTCACATATCATTCTGGGGCAAGCAGGCAGACTGCTATACTCCATACCATTAGGAATCCAGGCTACTTCCATTTTCTTTCTCCATTATCACTGAGAGTGTTTCCAGTATCCCCATAAGGAGTGTATTTTAAGGCAGATTCCTTTAAATAGAACTTGTTCCAGCTTGGCTGAGGGGGGAAATGCATGAAGGAGCATATACACAATGTTTTAAGACCCAGGACTGGAAGCGGCACACAGAATCTTCCTTTATTTTCCCTGGGGTGAAAATGAAGTCACTCAGCCATGTTTAGCTGCAAGGATTGGGGGAGGGGTAGCAGGGCTAGAAAATAGAGCCCTGACTTGGTAGTTAGCCCCCTAGCCTAACTGTATTATGAGGGAATAAGAAGAGCATAAAACCTGGTGTACAGCCAGCAGTCCCTGCCATAGCTACTTCTTAGTCAGTCCTACCTTCTAGAACATTTCTGTGTCTACTGTCCAAAAGCGGACCGTGGTGTACTCAGGATGCAATGATTGTGTATAAAGCATTCTTCATGGTGAAAATGTTCCTTGAACACTTATCATCAGGTCATTGACATAACTACAAAGGCTTTTAAAAAATAACCTTCCATTAATTTTAATCCAATTTTTCTATTAGCTTGGAATGCTGTACATTGCTAATATAAAACTTCTGGGACTAAGGCCATAAGTTAAAAGTGAATGTTTTTAATCAGTTCCAGATTTCCAATCTAACTTCTAATATAAATCTTGCTCCTTGAATTTAATATATACTATAAGAGCAAGGTATGATAGACAAGCCATAAGCTTTTAAAATACTGGTTTGAACAGACGTGTTAAAGTCTGACCATGTCATCTATACTCAAAATGTTCTTACGTACAAGGTAATTAATTTGGGTTCTTTGTATGTAAACCAATGCACAACCCAGATAAAACTGGTAAATTTATAAATAACCTAGGCTTGAATTTTAATGTCTTATAAGAAGTTCCTCAAGGAAGTGTCCTTTAAATAGAATTTGCATGTAAGGGATGGATCAGTTTTTGGCTAAGTGGGAAACTGAAATTCAAAACCCAATATGTGGAAGACATCCTAGATTCTGTCTAATGCAGAGCTGTTTCTTTTCTATTTCAATCTGTGATATTCTTTAAGAATCATTGCCACATTCCTAAATCTTTAAAGGTAGCTCTCCCTTATGCTGTTGAGAAAAAGTCTCTGGTTCCAACATCAATATGACAGTGTTGTAAATGCAAGAGGTTTTAAGAGGAGGCTTAGATGGGGGTTTGAGTGGAATAGAAGGTACAGAACTTCAACATCAACTGCTGCAAATACAATTGGTTAGGCTTGCTGACACCCAGTAAACTCAGCCTCATCCCTTGGTTTAAACGAGTTCAAGGATGTTAACTGGTTCTTTTCTACACAGAGAAATTATAAGTTAAGTAGAGGTCTCCAAATGATTATAGACTATAGAGGATATAGTCTTCTTTACAAACATCCTATCACCTCTTTTAACTGGCTGTGATGGCTTTCTCTTTTAACTTGATAAATTTCATTCATTCATTCCATAAATGTTTGTGAACCTACTATGTGATGCACTAAGTGCTAAACATACAGAGGTGAACTCATGTTTTAAGATTCTAATGAAGGCAGCATAAAATAGACAAGTATAAAAGTATATGACAAAAAAATGTACAGAAGAAAAATAAAGCAGGTATCTTTGAAAGCCTGATCAGGGAGATTCTCCTGGAGGAGGTGACATATGATCAAGGAATAAGGGAACAAAAAAAAAAAAAAAAAAGGAATAAGGGAACAAATGATGTGAAAATCTGAAGAATGAAACTT